CAAAAGCATTTCCAATAAGTCGGACGTGTAGATACCAGTGGAAGCAAAACAATTCCTCCATAAAAATGTGAAAACTCAAACCAGACCACATAGTCAGAGCGACTATTTCCAGACTTCAATTCTAAAAACCAATGAAAAGAGCTAATATGTAGAATTCACAAGATCTTTAGGAATCCACCAACCATCATGTTTGACTTGTTGCTGGATTCAAGAACTCCAAACTGAGAAGTTAGAGGACTATCTTAGGAAACCAATCCATGGCACAATCAACAATTTCATGAACACAAAAATGGACTTTTTAGCCCAGCAACTGCAGGAAACTTGCACTGGACTATACTTACTTTATCCTAGTAGTTCTGCAATTTTAAAAGTCTAATGGTGAAAAGTCAAGTTTCTGTACAATCTACTAGCTGTCCAACTGATTCTAGAGAGATTTCTGTCTGCAGACGACTATAATGAAGATGATTACCACGTGATTCTAGTTAACTTTTTCCTTTTAATTCATGAAACACAAAAGTCACTAAAAAGCATACAATACAGCAACACAACTCTCCATAACAAACTATAAGAAACCGATAACTCCAATAATCTTCGGTTCATAAAATTCAATTCACAAATTCTATGTAGCATGTCTGATTTTCATAAAGAAAGATTTGCTGATGCCAGCTGATGAAAATGATTCAAGGATACGAAAGACGTTCGGGTTACAAAAATTTGGAGAGAAATAGTAAACAAAAACTTCAGATCGTGAAAAAAATTAACTGAAGATATGTATATAGCTATAAATCCCCAATACTTCGTAATTCAAGAAACCATACTTATGGATTGAAAAATGGTGACTAACAAGACAATCTTTACATTTAAATTTTCTCATTAAAAAATAATAAGCAATCCAAAAAAAAGTATTTTTGAGCAGCATATGAAGGAGAGTAAAAAATTACTTTGTACCAGCATAAAATCTATCAGCAATACCTCAAATGAGTCATGAATTCTGCAAGCTGACTACCCTGTAAAAATATTTTGAAACTGACATTAATTAGAAAAACTACAAGTTACGAATAAGAGTTAGAAAACCACATGATAAAAAACTGTACTACAACTTTTATTTTATACATACAATTAATTATGCAAGTCATCATAATTCAAAAAACCAATCAAGAAAGTTTATTATTAACGTATAGACAAATCGAAGCACGAAGAAATAAAAACTATATTTCAATGAGCTATTGCTAACAGCATGGGAAATTCAAAGCAAGTGTTTTTTGTGAGAATTTTTTGGAAAAATGAATCCTATGAGAAATAAAATGGACTGAATAGATTTTACAAACAGGAAAACCTTTATGGCTTGAAAGTAATGAGCAGAGTTGAAAAAAAAATTTTAATTAAATAACACATCAAGAAATGAATAACTTTTTGTCTTTCAAAGTCGGTGACCACATGATATCTAATTTGCGTACCAAGTTTTAAAGTATAAATTAAGCTTTCTTATAAGC